CAATAATAAAAATAATAGAAACAGCCGGTGCGGCACAACAAACGGGCCGGTGCGGCAGCTACTCCAGTGCAGAAGGCCTGCCTGCCGTGTGCTTCCGGCTCGGGGCGGCCGGGGCCGGGGCAGCCCGGCACTCTCTCTGACAGTCGGTAACGTCACTATCCGTCTTGAGCAAGTTTGTTTTTTCCTCTCCCTCGGGCCGGAGAGCCACTCGGCTCGCCACTCGGCTCGGCGCTCTACAAGTGCACGTTACTCACGAAGGGCACGCTGTTGGGCGCGGCGGCCTGGCCGCTGAAGTCGGCCCACTTGCTGTAGTCCAGGCTGGGCAGAATGCCGCTCTTGCACGGCACGCGGGGGTTGCTACGGGCAAAGGAGGGTCAGTATACGCGAAACAACGGAAAACAACGAGCAATCACAAGCGATAAAACGTTCGACGGCGGACGTCGTCGCGTCGTACTACTCACATCTCGTGGTCCGGCAGGACCAGAGGGTAGACCTGGATGGTGTCGATCAGATCCGTGTTGTCGCAGATGACGCGGGACAGCTTGGTCTTGCGGATCTCGACCAGTTGCTCTGTGGAAGGGAAGGGGAGGTTAGTCTGGTTTATGTTTGCTCCGCCATCCACTCTCTGCGGCTCTGCTGTAGCGAGTGCTCACCCGGAGTGAAGGAGGACGGCTGGTTGGGCAGCTCGTACCAGAAGCGGTCTCCGCGCCTGGAGTAACTGAACTGGGTGGCGATGATGCAGGCGAAGGTGGGGCCGACCATGCTGCCGGGCAGCGGGCGCTCGGAGACTCCGCCGGACCAGAGGTCCACGTCGGACGGGTGGCTGGAAGAGATCAGGACCGCCGCCGTTAGCACAAACGTGCACTACTACTACTTCGAGCGGATGTCGTCGCCCGGGGATGCACGCTCTCATCCCCGTTCGTTTCCCGGTACTCACGCGTAGATGGAGGCGTATCGCTTGACGGTGGAGTTGGGCATGGACCCGAGCAGCTCGTCAAACGAGTCGGCCGGGGGCAGGCCGCAGAACTTCCTGCAAGCGGAGAGGTTGCGTGTGCGATTAGCATACAGTCACTGGGAGGGGCGGCGGTCCGGCCGCGCTGGGCACTGGGCACCGCGGGGCGCCGGGTCGAACCGCGGCGGCTGGGAGGGGAAGCCTTCCGTACCTGAACTCCATGTAGCCGGGGATACCGAACTCACGACCGCGCTGCATGTTGAAGGAGGCGAGGTCCATGCCGAACCGCTGGCCGGGCTTCTTGAAGAGGTGGTTGGTGACCTGCGAGAACAAGAGCGATGTAGTCGGACGTTTATGTGTGTTGTCGAGAAGCGCACGAGGCTGTGGTGGCTCCCGCTGTACTCACCTCCTGCGTGACAGAGTCGTCCATGGCCTGGGCCACCTGGTTCATCAGCCCCATGAAGTACTCGTCGAGGACTCCGGCGCGGTACAGGTCGTACGGCTGACGGATCAGGTCGGACAGACGGCGCGAGGCTGTGGACGAACGGGCGGATGGGTGTTAGGAAAGAACTGGACACTAATGGATCCCAGGGCACAAGTGTACGAGTGAAGGTGGGGGGGACCTACCGATGAACTTGTGAGCCTTGCTCCACCTCTCGATAGCCGTGGGCAAGAGCGAGTGTCCGAAACGGAAAGCGGCGGACGCGAAGGCGTCGATCACGTTGGGGTTGACGTTCTGGTCGTAGCCGTCCCAGTAGCCGTCCTTCTGCGTGAGCAGACCGAACTTCTCCATGACCTCCTTGCCGAGGATGATGGGCAGGAACTCGTTGTAGGTGATGTGCTGGATCTGCGCGATGACGATACGGCGGGCCTCCTGGTAGAGGGTCTCGTCGTCCCAGTGGGGGTTGACGGCGGCCAGGCCGCGGGCGACAGTGTTGTGCTGGCGGGCCATGAGCGTGTGCATGCAGGTCAGCACCAGCTGCTCGTTGACTCGGATCTCGCCGGCTTCGAAGCAGTACATGGAGCGGTTGGGACGGGTGCAGCCCTCGTCGGGGATGTCGAGCTTGAGCGGCAACAGGTCCTTCAGGCCGTACTCGTTGAACACGGGGTTCATGCGCAGCAGGCCGTTGTAGCCGGTACGCAGGTGGCGGGCGAACTTCTCGGTGACACCGTACACGGTGTTGCCGTCGATGACTCCGGTCAGGGTGTTGAAGGGCACACGCGATCCTGCGCAAAGAGAAACGCTGTTTTGTTAAGATACAACGCAGAAGAAACGAGTCCGGTAAAGATAAAAACTGCAAAACCAGAACGAGTCTCACCGAGTCTGCAGCCCGGTCGCACGGCGGGGAAGGCGCGCACGAAGTCCATGCAGCGCACGTTGGTCAGGCGGTAGAAGTAGTCGTCCTCGGGGATGGGGATCTCCATGCAGTAGGGGTTCTTGAGGTGCGGCGGCCTGTTGCAGCACTCCTCGGGCTCGTTCTTGTTGAGGGGGTCTGCGGACAGAGGAGGCGGCGTTAGTAAACGGTCCTCGCGCTAGCCTGGATAGGAGGAGGAGGCCGGACCGTGCGGCGCGGAGCGCCCGTCGAGTCGAGGGTAGGCAGCACCGCACGACCGCCGCGCCATCCGCGGTGGCCTACCCGGGCGGGCGGGCCGCCCTCGCTGCTGCATGACCACTCACCCAGCGGCGTGCCCGTCAGCGTGTAGTCGTGGTCCATGAACTGGCCCCAGGCGACCACCATCACGGTGCCGGCGTGGTCATGGAAGCCCTCGTCGGGGTGCATGGTGCGGGACACCACACGGGACAGGGGCAGCTGCTGGTTGACCACGGACACACGGGGCGCCGTCATGCCGTCGGCGAACAGGGGTCCGATCAACCTGGTGGCGGGAGCGCACGTTAGATGAGGCCTTCTAGTGACAAACACTCGCTCTCTCGATCATCTGAGCACGTACCTGGTGAAGGGGGTGTTGGTGGCGCCCCAGGTCGGGTGCTGCAGGTTGGTGCACAGCCCATCGTAGCGACGGTACTTGCCCGGCCTGCACTCCACGTTGGCCAGGTAGGGCGGGCACACCTCACGGATCAGCGTCTTGGACGTGTCGATCAGGGGCAGGCCCTTCTCGATGTCCTCGTACGTCAGGCCGTACCTGCGGAGCACAATCCATGCATTCACGTTCGTTTATTGCGGTTCACTCTCCGAGACCCCGGCGTGCCGTGCGCGGCAAGGGCGCCACGTCACATTGCGGTTCGCGTCCGAACGCACTTCGGCGGCGGCGTCCTTCGCGTCGCGTCCTTGGTCCCGTCGGCCCCGCATATTGCGGTCGCCCGCTGCGGGTGTCGGAAGAGAAGGGTCGCCCGCCGCGCCGCGCCCGATCCCGATCACCGGGGCCGATAAAGCCCGACCGACCCGAGCCGACGCGAAGGCGACCGACCGACCTGCCTCGATGATGGAAATATAATAATAACGCAACGGCAAGCAGCAGCAGCAGCAGCGGCGGCGGGCAGGCGGGCAGCGTCCGGCCGATAGAGGGACTATGATGGAACAGGTCGCCTGATTAAAACCAGCTGCCGGAGCCGGGGCGACGGGACAGGCCGAGAGTTACGTCCGCTCGCGCAATAAACAAACACCTCCTTAGCGGCAGGCGTGTAATCACACATCCGTCCGACTTATTTAATCAACGAGCCGCGGCCGCCGCCGCCGGACCCATTTAGCTGCAGCCACTTTATCGCATCAGTCGCGCTGGTGATACGCATTCCCCGACACACAACTTATTACGGTCTTATGGTATGTTACCCCCGATTCCGATTGAGGTTGCTGGCTAGTCTCCGCGCGATAACAACAAACCGGTCGCGGCCGACTTATTGGCATCGCGAGCAGAGAGACGACCTGTCTGCGAATAACGCGGCTGTCCGAGAGAGGGATAGCCGTACGCACATCATCTCACTCCACTGCCACCGACATTCCCAGCTCGTCCAGAAGGAGACGAGACAAGATGAGGTCTTCCCTGCTCTGATAAAGTGGAGCAATCAGCTGTTGTGACGCGCAGCGGCAGCGACTAGCAGCTGTTGGACTGCTGAAGCCCGCGGAGCTGGACGGCCTACTTGCTAACGACTGGTATCCCTTGGCGCCGTCGCCCGGCCCCCCTGTTTCGACACGGGGGACGTCTCTACCTACGGCCAATGTCGGGCCCGGCCGGGGCCGGCCCGGCCAGGCCCGAATCTCACTCGCCCGAACTGGTGCAATACTCACGCTTTGGCCAGCTGGATGGAGATGTCGAGCAGCAGCTCGCCGACGCTGGCGACATCTGGGGGCATCCATTGGCCCTGGGGCTGGGCCACCTCTGTGAGGAACACACAAACACGTTAGGTAATGCAAAGGTCTTCGTTTGAAATAAACTTTACATCTAATTAAAAGTATTCGCAGTGCGGGCTTTTGAGCCTGTCGCGTCGGCGCTACGGTGGGCTGCTCGTTACGCACTGCGCTCTTTTTTTAGGGGGGGGGGGGAGAACGTTTTCGTGGAAGAGAGGAAAACAAAAAGATGGCGCGCGCGGAGAAGAAAAGGAAAGTGGTGGTGAATGTTGTCTGCTGCTTGTGGATGCGGTGAGACAGACACCCCCTCCCCCCCCCCTCCTCTCTACTCGACCCTGCCCTCCGCCCCGCCACCCCAAAGTGTGTGGCCGAGGTGAGGCGGGGGCGGGGGGATGCCGAGATCGGCGAGATCGACCGGACCGTCTACAACACCCCGTCGTCTTACCCTAACCTCAGGGGACCTTGACCGAGTTGCGGCAGATATTCCTGTTCCACGTGCGCGGTGCGCTCGCCAGGCCGCTCGCATTACCCCCCCCCACCCCCTCGGCCGGACAGGGCCGCTCCACTGTTCAGGTCACTGCCTCAGGTCGTTTTCCTTGCTCCTCAGTCGTTGGCGTCGTTATGCGGCGCGGGGGCCGCGCGGGGGCCGGGCCGGCCATACAGTGCGCGAGCGCGCGGGAGCGAAATGAGCGACGATTAGAGAGCGAGAATGGGGCTCACTCGCAGCAGGTCGACGGGTAGTGCGTATTGAGAAAAGAGGTTTGACGTCCTCTAGGCCGCCGGCCCGCCGGCCCGCCGGCCCGGACAGCAGCAGGTGAGCAGCAGGGCAGGCCGTCAAGGCCCGGTCCAGCTCGCCCGCGCACCGGGACACCGCCCGCCGCCCGCCCGCCCGCAACCCTCACCCCGCGGCGCGGCGGGTGGGCGTGGGGACCTCGAACAGGTCGTGAGAGTCGTCCTGGAGTTTACGTGGCTCTAGACGAGCGAGAGCGCAGCGCAACAAATACTAATGCGAGGTTCGAATCCTCCGCTATTTTTTTCTCGACGACATCAACGGCAGTTTGCAAACCTCCGCGCTCGTTTTCCGAATCAGCTGGACCTGCTTCAGACCTGAATGTGAACCTGAACCTGGCCCGCCGTGGCCTCTGGCCTCTGCTCCGCGCTCTGCCTCGAGTGGCCCTTCTCCGGGCCGGGGGACGGCACGCACGGCAGGGCAGGGCAGGGCACGAGGACCTCTCGCCAAGGTGGTCCGGCCCGGCCAGTCACCACCTGCAGGGGGGCGGGACCCGGGTCCGGGAGACAGGAGGTGGGGAAACGAATAAACGAATTGCAGGGGCCGTACCGGGTGGGTCGGTCCCGACTGGCAGTAAAACGGTACGATATCGGGCGGGACGTGTCTGCTGCCTCTGGGCGTGGCGGGTGACTGCCGCTCACAACCATATAAAAAAAGGAGCAAACCGAAAAGCGACGAATTAACCTGCCAGCGCGACAACGACTTTGTTTGCCAACCGAGTGACAAATTATGATGGCGATTAATTACATCTGATGTTCTTTTCTCATGTGTGTTTTTGTGTCCGCCCCGCCTGCGGGCGCGATGTGTCATGACGGGGGCCGATCTCGCCTCGCCCCTTGTCCGGTCCGGGCCGGTTTGGTTTGTACTCACGGATGCGCTTCCTGGCGTTGATGTACGCCTGGTTGACGGCGTCGTAGGTGATGCAGGTGTTGGGTCCCCGGTAGCCGCTGCAACAGACACAAACCGTAACGATAAGAATGTTGGCAAAGCGGAGGATAACGAAGCGTCAAAACAGCAATATGTACCGCGTGCTCGTTAAACCCGAGCCGCGCTGATCTAGACGCCCCCCCCCCCCACCTCTCCCTCTTTCCCTCCGACCTGGAGCGCGTCTGCAAACTTTTACGACGCGACGCGGCTTTCGTATAAAATATAATGGAAAGAGCTCTCGTCGTGGCCGGCGGTGGTGGAGCCGCGCGGCCGGCCGATGGCTTTCTCGCCCCGCCCCGCTGCTGTCGCAACCGCAAACACTCTCCTCTCCTCATTGCAAAGCCCGGGTAAAGCACCTTGTTGCACAGCACACAGTTTTGCTCCTTTTTTCACCCGGCTGCAAGCCCTGCTGCAGCAGTGGGTGCGGGTGCCGCGGAGACGGCGGCGGAGAGCAGCCATACCGCCCCGCCCGTCCCTCTCTCTGCGCGCTGCTGGCGCGGCTCCCGGAGGGGGCCAGGGGGGGACCGCCGCCGCACCGCCGCACTGTTGCTTTCTTTATTGGACTGGTCATGGCCTTGCGTCGCTTCGCGTCGCGTCGCCGCCGTTACTCTGCGGGGTATTACGTTTGTCGCCGCCGCGTGCGTGTCCGGCCGGTGTGACTGAACCGCGCGCCGGCCATGTGTGCCGCGAGCGGGCGAGCGAGTGGGAGGGGCCGCCAAGTTAGCCTCTTGTGCCGCTTTATGGAATTGTGCTGCCGGTTGCCTCTGCTCCTACTGCTCCTACTGCTGCTGCTGCTGTTCCTGCTGCTGCTGCTGCTCCTGCTGTTGCTCCTGCTGCTACCCCTGCTGCTGCTGCCCCTGCTCCTGCTGTTCACGCTCCTGCTGCTACTGCTCCTGTTCCTGCTGCTCCTGCCACTGCTGCTGCTCCTGCTGTTGCTGCTGCTCCTGCTGTTGCTCCTGCTGCTACCCCTGCTCCTGCTGCTCCTGCTCCTGCTGTTCATGCTCCTGCTGCTACTGCTCCTGTTCCTGCTGCTCCTGCCACTGCTGCTGCTCCTGCTGTTGCTGCTGCTCCTTCTGTTGCTCCTGCTGTTGCTGCTGCTCCTACTGCTGCTCCTGCTGCTTCCCCTGCTGCTGCCCCTGCCGCCGCCGCCTCCACCACTGCTGTAATATCGGCCGATGACATCGCAAGTCCTCTGACGGCTCATGTCGGAGACTGATGGACAAGAAGGGAAGACGCGGGCGGCGCATGGCGTCACGGCGTCACGGGCGCGCGCGCGCGGAGCCGCCTCGTGGAGGAGCGGGCGGCCGTGGGGGAGGCGCCGCCGCGATGGCTATCGCCCGGCCGGACAAAACACCGATCACGTTCGCTAACAAACTACTGTAACGCCGACGCGGCCGCACGGTGGTGGTGGTGTGGCGCAAGTGAGCCGTATTGCGCGATATGTACTGTAAGCGCCCCGCGTGACGCCGCCGCGCGCGGTTCAATAATCTCGAAGAGATTTTCTTCCTATTTTACACGTTTTCGCCGCAACGGAATGAATCACTCGCGGTGCCGGTTGAGCCGCGGCGCGGGTTTTACGACGTCGTCGTATCGTGGAGTACTTACAGGGTGCCCCGCAGGGTGTTGACGTTGTGGTCGAACAGCGAGGAGCGGCCGGGCCCGTCCAGCAGCAGGGCGCACTCGTTCTCGTTGTGCACCTCGATGGGCGAGAACTGGATGGCGAGCGCCAGGTGCAGCGCGGCCACGAGGGCCAGCAGCGGCCTGCAGACAGAAAGAAAAAAACACACGGATTAGCCATCAGCCGGTCATTTTACTCTCGCACTCACTTGACTTGCCACTTTCCATTCATTCCGTCCAACTCGCTCCTTCATTCATGAGTCAGTCACTCCCTTTTCTGGAGCGGGCGGCGCCGGCCCGGGCCGGGCGGCCTTGGGCGGCGGCGGAATCCGCGCGTATCCGCGGCCGCCTTGATCTGGCCGGGGCTTTGATAAAGCATTCCGGTAAAGCTGAAATGCAGAAGAATGCAGGGAACAAGAAAACGGAAGTCCCATGTAAAAGCATTGTGATTTCCGTTTTCTTCTTCCTCTCATTCTTCTGCATTTTAGTTTTACCGGAATGCTTTATTGCGCTCATAGCGGGGAATACACAACACACACGTGCATTTGGTGTGGCGTGGCCAGGCGTGGCGGGGCGCGCGCGCCGAGAATGGCCAGCAGCCCCCCGCGCCACCAGCAGTGACCTTGCGGCCACGCCCTGCCTGCACCTCGCCGTCGTGCCGCGCGCGGGTCGCTCTCTACTCCCTCCCCCCGGAGGTGTGCGCGGGGGAGTGAGTGAGTGAGCGAGTGAGTGCGCTCACTCTGAGCCGTGTGCTGAATCGCGAATAGCAAGAGAGGCGCGGCGCGGCGGGCCCCGCAGGTGACGCACACGCCACGGCGTGGCCCTGTCGTCGTCGCCGCTCAAAAAGCGCACGTGAGTGCACGCCCATCTCTTCACGCCTCCGTGCATAGTGCATTGAGTGTCCGCTTTAAAATGTTGTAATTTTTTTCATTTGGAAACGAAAAAGGAACACAAAAAAAACCCAGCAGGAATCAAGTTTGGACTGGTGGTACTCAGAACAGTCTAAATGCTTGCTTTAA